AATTCTCCTGGTTCCAGCTGTGGATCTCTCCAGAACCTGGTTCCATTGGATCGGGCTCTGATCCGAGCAGCTCCTCCAGCTGCAGGTGTGATGCTCATTTGAAATGCTGATGAGGTTCTGTAGGAGCAGGAACCGTTCAGCTCCCTGCAGGGTCAGAGTCCGGCTTTAATTGGTGCCGGTGTCAGTCTGAGCCTCCCTCCTGCTCCGAGCCCAGCGGGCGGCCGGCGCCGCCTTCAGGGCTGCAGGAATCCACAGCGCTCACAGCCGGCCGCTCTGGACTCTACCGGGCCGGACTCACACTAGAGACTGGTGGTGAGAGACGCACAACAGACACACAACTCACAGCAAAACATTAAACATGACAGCACAAGAGACACAGAACACACAATACGGCAGCAAGGAGACACAAAGCAACCACAAAATAACACACAGAAAACTACAGCGGAGACATGAACAATGACATCAGACAGAGACAACAACAACACAAACACAAAGTTAACACACAACATAAGAAACAAGAGCTGAGACACACAACATGAACACAAAGGCACAGGAAACAGCACAAAGACACACAACACGACAGCAAAGAGACAGAAAACTAACACAGAAATAACAGAATGAGAGCAAACGTCTGAAATAAAACCTTTGAGTCAATTTAAAAACATTAGAAACTGTTTAAGTCACATGTCGTGGGAGGAAAGCAACATGTTTTGGTGATTTAAACACTAAAAACATGTAATTTTACTCTCAAACTAATTAATCCATATTTGTAAAATTATTTATTATTTTTACAGTCAGAATGTAAATCAAGGCTTTTTTCATTTAAGTTTTTTGGTTTAAATCTGTAAAATAACAGCAAACTGTTTGTTCACCACTGCAGGTTCAGAACCTGTCAGGACATCTAGAAAGTGGAATAAATTCAGGTAAATGAATCCCACGTGGACGCCGGAGCAGGTCCGGAGGAGGAATCCTTCCTTCAGGACGTTTGGTCTGACAGAAGGAACCAGAAGCAGGATTCAGCTCTCCGGCCGACATGTTGACAGTTTATCTGTTCAGAGGGACTCGGTGACACCAGAGACTCGCTCTGATCAAACACACAGCTGATCCGACACGTCCAGCGCCGGCTCTCCTCAACAATTAGGATTCCACACATGCAGTCTTTGTCCAGGAGTTTATAAAACACGAGCCATCAGCGGTAATAGAACCAGAACCGGCAGCTCTCGGGGGACATCTGCTCAATGAAACACATCTGAAGGACGTTCTGCACATTGTGATTGTGAACGCCGCCTCCGCCGCTGATCACAATCGAGTCAGTAAAGGTGGAACTTCTAGAAACCGGAGAGACAAAGAGCCGAACGACGAAGACAAACACGAAGCGAAGAGGGAGGAAGAGGAGGAAGAGGAGGAAGAGGGAGGAAGAGGGAGGAAGAGGAGGAAGAGGGAGGAAGAGGAGGAAGAGGGAGGAAGAGGAGGAAGAGGAGGAAGAGGGAGGAAGAGGATGAAGAGGGAGGAAGAGGATGAAGAGGAGGAAGAGGGAGGAAGAGGGAGGAAGAGGATGAAGAGGAGGAAGAGGGAGGAAGAGGGAGGAAGAGGGAGGAAGAGGAGGAAGAGGAGGAAGAGGAGGAAGAGGAGGAAAACGCTGCCCAGAAGCAGAAACGATGAAAAAACTACTTCAGACACACAAGATGAACACAAAGAGAGACAAACGACAACAGACACAAAGCCCCAGAGGTCCAGGTCCTTCAAGTCCACAGAGGAGGGTCCAGATTGATCACTGAGCCTCAGAACTTCATCAGTACAGCAGATAGACACATGACATTTAGGAGGAAGAACACATCTGGGTTCTGCTAGAACCTGACACCAGATCAGTTCTACATCCATCCAGGTGTCTCAGTCTAAAGAGTAAATAGAATTATATCAGATTTTTTAAAAAATTGATCCCACAGAATGAATCCTGTCTGTAGATGGTTCTGGTAGGTTCTGGAGCTAAAACGGACCTTCCATCGTCTAGAACTTGTTCTGACCAACCACCATCACACATGAGCCTGGAACGTTTACCCTCTTTCAGTTCACGTGACTTTGTGCTGTGAACTAGTCTCCCCGGGTCAGACAGAGGACCCAGTACAGAACCCTGTGGAACACCACATCAGCTCCCCTCATGTACACTTCAAGTGTACGTTCAACAAACAACAACCTTCAGCAATCCACCAACATGCTGACGATGAGTTTTAATGGAGGTGTGGCTGAGCAGTACTTTTGGTTCTTCTGGTGAATTATTCCTTTTAAAGATGCTTCCAGCCTCCCTGGACGTTCCACCAACAGCAGCTCCTCTTCAGAGGAAACCCACCATCAGGACTTCACCGGTCCACAGAAACACAAACAGTCCACCGACGAGGCTTTAAACGACCTGAAAACAAACTCTCCACCTCCAGTCGCCTCCAGCAGCCACTCGTGTGTTTAGATAACAACACTCAGCGACTAGCGGACGAGTCAACGAGGACGAGCTGCCCAAGATTTACTCACAATAAACCGGCAGGAAGAGAAAGTTGGCCGAGAGCCGCGACCCGACGCCCACCAGCCTCTTTCACATGCAGATGAATCGGAGCGTTTTAAAGAAATCAATGAAAGCTGTTGTGTTACGAAGACGCTCAAGGTGAGGCGGCGAGGAGACGAGTCTTTGTCGAGTTAATGGCTGAAGACAAAGACGAGAGCAGCTCCGGAGCTCCGACACTCAGGAGGGACTGAAATCAGGAGAATCAGGGCTGATGAGCGACACGATGGAGGCTCGGCTCACTGATTACAGTCTGATCAGAGGAACGTCCTGCCACCGGCTGATTAGAGGTTCTAATGAGAACACGTGGTTCTGTCTGATGGCAGCTCAGACATCAGGACGGCTTCAGAAATATGCTTTGTTTTATCATTTATCTCACGTAACTGATATTTCTAATGACATGTTATTAATGTTCTTTTAATATTTCCCCCAAACAATTATTTAAATAAAATATAATCTAAATAATGTATTTACGATATTTTCTAAATATATTTCAGACATTTTCTAAAATGTTTTTCTGGTGTTTTATTCATGTTTTTACAGGTTTTTGTTGATGTTTTTCAGACTTTTTATTCTGACTTCTGGGTCATTTCTTTGTCCAGCAGTTCAGAATTAATTTTAGTGATTTTGCTATTTTCAGAAATTATTTCCAGGCTTTTTATTCATATTTTTCTAAAACAATAAGTTTTATTTTCTATTTCAGGTCATTCTGTTCACATTTTTTCTGACACTTGTGGGCCATTTTTTCAGATTTTTCAGACACAGCGTTAAATGAAAAGTTGTTTCTGGTGATGGAGAGCTGGAAGCAGACAGACTGATGGTCGACGTCTGAGTTTAAAACCAAACTGGGGTCCACAGCGATTCATAACGTCTCAGGTTGGAGCTGCTGGAGGCTGTGAACAAGCACATGTGACCTCCGACCGTCGTCAACAACAACAACAACAACAACAACAACACCAGGACCAGGTGGATCCAGTCTGAGCCGCTGTAAAGGCAAATATTTACAGACGGATCAATGAATCTATTCCTGGGATTATTTCTGACTATTTACGTGACAAACATCCTGATCCAGACCAACAGGAGGCTCAGACTGCTGCTGATGGAGGTTCTCCGTCGCGCTGCTCTTATTCATGGAGGACCAGTCGACCAATCAGGCGGCTTGGTCTCGCTGTGGCTGGTTTGTGTCTCTCAGTGGTCAGTTTTAGCATCTTCAGGGTCATGTTGTGTGTCTTTGATGTTGTTTTGTGTCCTTTCGTGTTGTTTTGTGTCCCCTTTTTGAACATGTGCGTCTTTCTGGTCATCTTTTGTCTCCTTGTGGTCGTTCTGTGTGTCTCTGTGGTCACTAAATCCTAAATCCACCTCTGGAGAAGACTGGAGCTGCTTTACTGACTTTGTCCAGACCAACAGGAGGCTCAGACTACTGCTGATGGAGGATCTCCGTCACGCTGCTCTTATTCATGGAGGACCAGTCGACCAATCAGGCGGCCTCCAGCCGAGCTGGGTCCTCAGGGACACCTGGGCGGCTCTCACCCAGACGGGGAGTCTTCCTCCCTCTAGCCTCTAACCTCCATCCAGCGGTTATCCATCAGCGAGCCGCTCTGAGAGCTCAGGCCTCCGTCTAATTAAAGCCTCCGGCGGCGGCCGACTCACCTGCAGAGGGCGTCGGAGCGACAGGTGCGCCTCAGCTCCAGGCAGGACGGCTTGTGGCGCTCCTGGTGGCTGCAGGACGGGACGATGGTCCGGCGGCGCCGCTCGGCACAGGCCTGGTCCGGGCAGGAGCAGAACAGCAGCGGGTAGCTGAGCTCCCAGGAGACCCGCTCGAAGAACTGACGAAGGGCCTGAGAGAGACAGGTACAGGTTAGAGGTTAGAGAGTAGAGATTATAGGTTATAGATTATAGGTTATAGATTATAGGTTATAGGTTACACATTAGAGAATATAGACAGGTTAGAGGTCAGAGAGTAGAGAGTATAGATAGTCTATGGATCACAGAACATAGACAGGTTAGAGATTATAGATTCTAGTTTATAGATTATAGATATTTCATAGATCATAGATAGTTTATAGATTATAGATAGAGATGAGAGTTTATAGATAAAGAGTTCATCAATAAAGAATAAAACAAGTTCATGAATAAGAAGAACGATAGACAGGAGATCAACAAAGATAAATTCATCAATAAGAAATCAAGTTGTGTTAATCGATGAAGACCAGGACTGAAGAGTTTCTGAGGTGAACTGGTTCAACACAACCTCCTGAACATGAACCAGAAGAAGTTCAGGAGGCAGAAGATGAAACCTGGAATGTCTTCACATCAGCAGCTTCATCTGATTCTTATTTTATTGTCTTTGTGGAGTTTTTGTTGGTTTGTTTGTGTCTCCTGATGGTCGCGTTGGTTCTTGTGGACTCGTTTTCTCTCTCTGACGTCATCTGATCTCCTTCATGTTCGTTTTCTCTCTTCAGGGACCTTTCTGGTCGTTTTCTGTCTGTTTCAGGTATTCATGTGGTTTATTTGTGTTTTCCTTCTTTATGTTCACGCTGCATCCTCATGATGTCATTTCCTGTCCCTCCTTACAGACATGAGTCCATCCTGGTGTCAGCAGGACTTCAGCTGCTCTCCAGCTGGTTTCACAGATTAAATAAACTTTATTAATTCAAAATCACATTTGGATAAACGGGCCCGTTTGGACCCATGTTGTGCATCAAAGGCTTAATTTATTATTAATGAACATCAAACTGCACGAGTTTAAACGAAGCAGAACAAACCTGATCCTGAACCACTGATCATCATCTAATGACGGAACAGCATCAGTCTGGACCACATCAGTACCTCCAAACCTTTACTGAACCATGTCTGACAGTCTCAGAACCAGAACCAGAACCAAGCCAGACGGATCTTTAATGAAACCAGCCCGGCGAGGCTTGGTGCTGCCGCTGAGCTGGATGGACTCGACTGTTTCTACAGCCTTGTACTCAGATCAACATCTGGACGGTTCCTCCAGTCGCTCACGTCTGCAGCTCCATCGCTCAGAGAGCAGCAGCAAATGAAAAGTTAAAAACCTTTTAGCCTTAAATCAGCCTCGCAGCGGCGTTCAGCTTATCGTCATCAGACACAGTCGGATCAGAACAGCAGGTTAAATGATGGACCAGGAGGTTCTGGTGGCACAAATAAAGTAAAAAAGAACCAGTTGTGCAGGAGAACAAAACCCTGTTGGGATGGTTTCTGGATCCAAACACAGACTTTAAGGTGAATGTTGTGAATCAGGAGGAATAAAACTTTGGTACCAAGTCGATTTGACACTCATCGGTTCTTGTGGTTCTGAGGGCAGTGAACGAAATACTGGACCAGAACCACAAAGTGCAGAAACTCAGAAAACCTCAGA